GAAGAAAAAGAAAGTTGTGAAGTATGGAATGGGTGGCATGATTGTCGTCTTGCTGATTTGTATTGTCTGGTTCCCGCTACTCTTCATGTCTTTAATCAAATCTGTTGCAGGCGTCGTCAACAAGCCTCTTGATATATCAATCACAATAACCCTAGGAGGTTATCAGGTAAAAAAAAAACTTAATTCTTTGTGCTACATTCTTTCTTTTATTAGGCATATAGGAATTGGTGAGTGAAATCTGTTAGCTGAGTCACAGAGGTCAGACTAGGTGATGATAATGATCCCTTCTGGGTTAAAAAATTAAGTATCTTAGAAATGATTTATGATTAAACTGTAAAATACCATCATTGCTTCCACATTACAAATATCTGACCTGATACTGCATTACAGTAAATGTCTAGATATACCACTAGCACTTGTATAGCTATTCTTCACTCCCTCAGGGGCTAAAAACAGATATTGGATTTCTCCCTGGACAAAGCTTTTTATCCTGGGATCCTACAGAGGTACAGGCCCGTTACTATACTTTAAGTACCTGTGAAGTATTCAAGATAAGATATAACTTTTTCCTGGAAAATTGGAGCTAATATGAGTTAATTGCCATTCCACCTGAGTGTGTAAATGAGTGACCCAATCAGACCTGGGATAAACCGGACATCTGTTTTTACCTAGAGAGTGAAAGGAAAGTAAACAAAGTTGAATCAGATTTTTAGGTGTTTATTCCATGTTTATCCAATTTATTTTGCAAGGGATTCCATATGTGCTTCTGTGCTAGCCAGTCAACCTCATAGCTGAATCAAAATCAGTCGCAACATAGCTTGTAGGGATGCCATGAGGAACATTCAGAGATGCCACTTTGGTTTTGCCCTTTTGAAGAGCAGGTATTCATAGTTGCTTTTGAAGTTTTAAAATTGTTTTCAGTTTAAGATCCTCTTCGGGTACATGTAGCACTTAGACAAAGGAACAAAAAACCTTCAGAAATGCTAATATACTTAAGAAATTCAGCAGCGGTGACAAGGATACACTTCTCTGAAGGAGTGAGTCCAATTACGATTGTACACAGTGAGAAAGGATATACAAAGTAATCTCAGTTAACTCTGTCAGGCTATGCTTACATGGGAAACTTGCCATTGCACTGCCAAGCAGCAGTGCTCTCAAACACATCATTACTGAAAGCCATTGACTTACCAAAAAGGTATGGCTGCATTCCTGTCTGCTCAGCCCACTGTGGATAGGTGCTTATCCAAAAGAAATTTCAAACAATGAAGTCTCACATGCTACTCGATGAGGTTGTGGAAAAATAAGACTGTTTTTGAAACAAAACCTGGGAAATGTTTTGATTCAGGGAGGCTTGCAGTCCCACAAAGTGGAACATTTAAAGAAATTGAAAAGAAATTCAGAACTTCAATAGCTCATGCGAATTTCTCCCTTGTTCTGGATCATGCTGTCTTCCCACTGCTAACAGGCTGATGTTGCCTTAAACTGCACTCCACAGAACGTGATATTATTTGTGTAAACATAAAAGTGTAGAAATTTAACAAGTCTGCATTTTATTCTTTCCTAGCCTATTTTTACAATGAGTGCTCAGCAGAACCAGCTCAAGGATATGGGTGACAGTGATTTCAACGAGCTTCTAAAATATTATTCGGGTAATACTGTAAGTGAAATATAGAGTGCTTCATCTTTTCAGAGTGCATGTGTATGTTTGTTTCCAGTACAGGCAGTCCTCAGACTTACGATGCTATAGGTTCCTGAAACCATGTCTTAAGTCAAAACATTGTAACTCGGAACCAATTTTTCCATAGGAACAATATAATAAATGAGGGATTGGTTCCTTTACCATACTCAACACAGCTGCCTCCAGC